GAGTCACTCGCCAACATAGAGCGCACATTTGAACTCCGATTGACATGAAACTTGGCGTGCTTGCATATCTCACTAATATGCATCTAACTCTAAAGCCGCTCGTCCAAACTCTCGACGGAACCCCGACTTCTAGGATCATGGCCCAGGGCCCAACTGGCCCCCATTGAGCTTGTCACCAACACCACTGACATCGCCTTCGCCTTGCATTTTGCATACGCTTTCTCTAGGCATTCTTATGCACATCCATGAGGTGTGATAGGTGATGCACTATCCTCCTTGGTCGCATCACGACACTTCTCTCTCGGCCCTCAACATGGTCTGATGGGTGACATATGCATGTCGCCACCACTTGTCCACTATGTGGGCGTCACAGCCTACACTCTATTAGTATGGTTGTAACTAAAAGAAACAAGAAAAAATTTGTTCCAAAATGTCCGAGAACAAGATGGAATTAGGAAGCCGAGGTATCATAACCCAACATCAACCCGAAGTGGTTCGAAAAGACCCCCCAAATAGTAATAATAAAAAAATAAGTTGTAATTAAAAAATAGTATAGATGGCAAAAGAAACAGTGCACTATATTTTTTCATAGATCTAACATTCTGAATAATTATCACTCTAATATGCAAGACTACCATCAATGCAGCAGATAACTAAAAGTAGATGAGTGAAGAATGTAGGTAGGTAAAGCAAAGTCAGTTCTTGGATACACAGGATCAAGATGAAAGGTTACAATTAAGTAGTTGTAGGGCAGTATACAAGTACTTTTCAATTAGGGCATTCCCTGCTTTCTCCGAAGCTGTGGTTCTCTTTTTAAGCTGGAGGAGAAAAATAATCCTACTCCTTTAGCAATAGATTAATTTGGAACAAGGTGCTTTGATTAGAAACGCCTCTGGTGGAGCTTCTTCAATCTCCATTAAACAGTATGTTTGTTATAAGGACAGAGGACTAGATCCAAAAACAGTGTAATGAGTTTGGAGAATGTGAATCATTATGTTGGTATGCTGAAATATCTAATTTTACTGCTGATAGTAAAAAAGGAAGGACTTTTGTCCCTTAAGGGAAAAACAGACGAGGATAGGCCATCTTTTTGGAAATGACATGAAATTGTTAAGGAAAATTCAAAAAAAGGAATGGAAAAAGTTCGTGAAGAAAGGAAGCAGCCAGGTTGTTTTGAAGACGATTTGCAATCTTTTCACAATAGGACAAATAAGGAGCCTTCCTTCAATTTTGAAGAAAGTAAGAGGTTGCCAAAGGAGTTTTGGGTAAGGAAAGGAAACAAATATATTCTGCAGAGATAAATTGAGATTGTACAATTTCAATTACTAGATTGAATTGGCATGATGACTGATTTGCAATTGCTTAAGCTTTAAAGGTGGAGTTTTGAAGATTAAAGGAACAGTAAACTTTCGTTGATAAAAGGTCCCAGAGGATTCTTTTTGTATGAATTTACTGAATCTTACTTCTTAGTGGGCCATTAACCATAAAAAATTCTTTTGTAATTATAGCTTAGTAGCAAATGATTGGAAAGTTGTGACGGTATAGTCCTTAGGAGAGGGTGACCTCCACCCTCTGCTGTTAAGGGTATTTTTTGAATATATTGTTCCAGTATCTTATAAAAAAAAAGGTGGATTTTGATGAGATAGGTAGGCTTAATCCGTGGGCAAATCTTTGCTTAAATGCACGAAAAGGTTGCCAATGGATTTGTTTATGTGAATTGGCACGGTGGAAGGAAGTGGGAATTTTCCAATTCAAGTTTGATAGATGGAACGCCATTAAACATGAGAAACCAGATGTTATTCCTGTTATGGTGGATAGATAATGGCTAAAGTTGAGAGGCATACTTTTGGTGGTTTGCGAAAAACAGATCTTTGAAGCCTTTGGGGGGTTTAATCCAAATTAGAAACTGGATTGCTACTTAGAAGTTTTGAATTTGAGTTAAAAGAAATATAATGATTGGTGTTATGGGTAGTCCTTGTCCACGAAATAGATTGCAATGTGTTGATCCATGGCAAAGACTTGAATTGTGGAAATTCCATGATGCAATTCGATGGGAGAAGAAATTGGAAAATGAATCAGATTCATAAAAAAAATTCAATCTGTAAGGAGGTTGATAAAAAGTCAAAAAGTCAATGCAGATAGGTGGAAAAGTTTAGTTCCAAGACCATTCTTTAATGCTCATAGTTTGGAAAGTACGAATAAATACAAAGAGATGCCAAGGAGTTCTAAAAACTTTAATAAAGAGGTGGGGTAAGGAAGAGAAAACACTGGAGTTTTCAGAAATTGGAATAGTTATTGAGGCTGATGATTCAGGGTCCAAGAGTAAGGAATTAGTGTCATTAATTCGAAGTGTGGAAAAAGGAAAATCATTAAATTTGAGCATGAAAATAAAGGAACTGGAATTTGTTTTATCAGCACATGTTAGGTACTTGGAAAGTCCTCTCCATAAAATTACCAGTTGGCCTAGTAAATAAGGAAAGAGATGTTTATTTCTCTTGAAAAGAATGGTATTTTGCCGGCTGATGGTCAGTTTTCAAACAGAAATAGAAGTCCAGATGGTGGTAATACAATTAGACTAGTAGATGAAGTTCTAGTTTTCTGGAGAAGAAAGGCTAAACGAGGATCTTAGTAAGAGCACCAGTCACTACCTTATTCAGGACTCCCGGAATTTTGACAAGGGAAAACAAGTTTTCAAGGAAGAAAATGGGTGAAAATAAAGTCGTCTCTCAAATATTTGTTTATGGAACTCTTAGTAGTGAGATGAGTGCTATTATTCTGATTTGGATTGGAAAGAACCAAGGGAGGAGCAGAAGTTGATACTTTCAAGATGGATGGAGAGGTAGCTCCCTTATGTGGAAATAAAGAAACTGAGATCACAAGGCCTGAGAATGTTTTTTCTCCTTCAGAATCAATGGAAATTCCTTTTGTTATTAAAAAGGGTTTCCCTTCAGAAGATTCAGAAAAGGCTAGGTGTGTAAAGAAAAAATTTTGGGGACAAGGGTATAGATCTTTTGATGTATTCACCTTCGGGAATGATTTTGGAGAATTAGCGTATCGTTTCAGACAACATAACAATATTCCTTTATATTTAACACTAATATTGGTTGTGGTTGGCTGTCAATTCCAATAGAAATATTTACAGAAAATGACATTGTTGCTAGGAATGGGATTTTGATATGTTTATAGATAAAATTAAAATGACTTTATTGATAATTACATATAAGCTCATTAAGATATCGTATGAAAGTAGGATTTCCACAATTCTCAAATAACCAATCTCTAGTGGAAAGGAAAAAATTATATTTGATTTTGCCTTGTGGGATCAGACTGAGGGATCGGGTCTCTTTGCCTGGTGAACTTTTAGCTTCTGTAAGCTTCTTTTCATCCTAAAGATCCTCGTTGGGCTTCTATGTTTGCTCCTCCTTTTGGTTTTCTTTTTTCCGTTGGAGCTATTTGGAAAATTTTAAGGGCTTACTTCCCTACCAAGGATGAGATTTATGATATTTTTTTTATGTAATGATTGTGATAGGCTTTTGGAGATGTTTCTATGACTTTTTAGGATCTTTGTTGGACTGTTTTTCTTCTCTTTAATTGAGAATTCTTGCATCTTTATTTGTAATTTTTAGTTTTGGGCTGTGAAGTAGCCTAGGTTTTCTACGAGCTGTTTTTATTTCTTATCTCCGAATAAGAGTTCCGCACTTATCCATGAAAAGTATTGATTGCTTAACAAAAAGTTATTTGATCTAACCACGGGAGGTGAAACCTCTAATGTTTCTTTGATACTTTCTAAGTGAACTGCATTCAAAGCCAAACAGAGACGAACTCTAGTACTTTGAGATGCTTGACACTCCACAAATTAGAGCAACCATGGGATTGTAGAAAGAACTGCTAATATGCAATTTCAGATACTTCTTCTACGCAAGTTCATACAATAACTTAGAATTGACTAAAAGAAAGCTAGTTATTACTTGTGAAAACAGTGTAGAAGTGCAGCAATGTACAAACTATTAATTATAATCTAAGAGCAATACCTTGAGAAAAAGCCTCTTGTCATGCCCCGTTGCTGCCACCCTAAGAACAGACTCAGCAGCACCAATGGTATTGGCTAACCAAGCAACCAAACCATTAGCAGTATCCTGCGATATTTGCCACTCAAGCGGATCCACCGGTACCCTGCAGCGAATTGTTCAAAATTTGGCTCACAGATTACAATAGAAGATGATTGCGACGACAAGAATATGCACACAGATGAAGGATTTAAGTTCAGCAACACTACTTTGAAGCAATCAATAAAAAAATGAAAAAAACCCCAAGAAGAACAGCTTACGAGATGTTCATATGGCGGAAGAGAAGGCCGAGAATGGCGAGGGAGCAGAGGAGAACGATGAAAACGTCGGCAACGAGGGAGAGGAGGCTGGAGTTTCGAAAGGCGCAGTGGTAATATACCAAAGAACCGCAAATGAGAGCAACCATGGGTTTCCCAAGTTGTGTGGTGCTGTGAATGGTGCGATTCGCCATTTCTGATTCGCTCCTCCGCCCTATTTGACTCATCATCGCAATTCGCAAACCCTCTGCCAAACCACCATTCGTCAAAATTACAGAGAACCTTTTTGTTTTGTTTTAATACATTATTTAATAAACAATTGAATGACGTGATGTGCATGTGATTTTACAATTTCACCCCTCAAATTGAAACATGCCAATGCCTTCATTGGTTTCCAAGGGTACATTGGGTCATGGTCTCTCCATGGTGCCTTCCTGTTTGACTCTCGCTTGTCGTAGGATTGGGCGAGTTGTTCGGATGACCGATGCAGTACAAGTAGATATTGTACATATTTGAGTCATAATTTGTGGTCCTCCTCCGAACAAAAAATGATGTCTTATTCTAGTGTTGATAATTGGAATATCAAAGCCTAGTACCGTTGCTTTCGAAATAGTTTAAGTAATGTTAGTTCTTAAGGAGTTTGGATTTTCTCGATCAAACGATGGTGATTGGTCGATTTTGGGATAAGTCGATCAACTATCAGCTTTGCACGATCAGTAAGCTAATGTAAAAGTTGTTTTGAAAAATTTTAAAAGTTGAAATCGTGAAAATGATACTTCTAATCTATAGGGGTGTAATTGAAACTTAAGGTATGGTGACATAATTGAAATCACCTATATCTATATGTCCACGTGTACCTCTATTTTGACAATTTATCACCCAACTCACTTGCTACGTCACTTTTTTTTTTTTCTAACGAAAAAGTTGATAGAAGAGTATAGTATTTTATAAGACAACTTTAAGATAGAATTGAAACTTTTAAAAAAATGGAGGCATAAACTTACCAAAAAATCAAGGGTATACTTTGCATTTAACCTGGATTTTATGTACAAATAAATCTTAAATTATAAACCCGGAATATGAAAAGGAAAATCAACTTTGGAAAATCTAATGGATTATATATACAAATATGAAAAAAAAAAATTCATAAACCTTAAACTCTAAACCTTAAATATTGAATCTAAATTTTGAACTTTAAATATGTTAACAAACCAAAAATGTTAAATATTATATGGCAAATTACCTTTTTGATCTCTAAGGTGACAAAATTCAATTGTATGTCTACGACGTATCGGTTAATTTTACTAAATGTCTTTTAAAAGTAGAATGATTTATTAGATAAAATTTATGTAGTTAATGGGACTAAGATGATATTTTAACCCTTTTTGAACGAATAATAAAAAACAAATCAAATGAAAAGTTTCTAAGTTCTAAATTATTCGTGTTAAAAAAAAAAAAAAAGCTTGAATAGAAAATTGTCTGCCTCTCTCAAGCTTAATTCTCTATCGCCAGCAACGCACAACCCCTCTACCTTATGTCTCTCTCTCAATCTTGCCAACTATTGTATTTCTTTTAATTTCAGCAGCTCTGTCTCAACCGTGGGTGGAATTTCTTTCGATTCTTGTCATCTTGGTAATTTTCGGCTCATTTATCTTTCATGCTTCTTTTTAATTAAAAGTCAGATGGATCGCTGTTCATAAAACCAATTTTTTTAATCTTTATAACCTCCAGAACATCTCGTACCCTCTCCTATCTTTGCCCCTCTTAATGAATGATTTGTGTCATGGATTTGGTCCTGCACGAAGGAAAATAAACAAATATGGCTCACACCACAAGAAATTTTATTAACCTTCGAGGGAGGATTTTGAGGACCCTCTTGTTTATTTGGACAATTGTTTCTGAAGCTCGTGTTGGGATAATGGAGCCAAAACAAGAAACTCACACCATAATTGAGTAGTTGTGGGGTATCCCGTGAGTTTAGTGAGCGTTTTTCATTCATGTACCTCTAAGTATAGTGTGTTATAATACTTAAAAGTTAGAGGGTTTTTGTTGGAACCTCTAGAGGGTAAATATTTGAGAGAGATATTTCAATGTTTTGTATCCAATCTTTGATTATAATGGAACCTGCATCTGAGTGGAAGATTGAATATACTCATAAACTGTTGTGGTGAACTAGTATAAATCTATTGCGTCGTTTATTACTTTCCCTATATTTCTCTTTGTTTTACGATTGGCTTAGATAACTGGATAGAACTGTGAAATGAGAAATTATTTGGAGCATCTAATTTCCCAACAAGTGGTATCAGAGCAGAAGGTTGAAGTTTCATGAGATCCAGTCATAAGTCACATTGAGGCAGTGTTGAGATTTGATGGGGAGAATTTTTGGTTTTGGAAGATGCAAGTGACAGGTCTTCTTACATCCAATAAGATTCATAAAATGCTAAAAGAACAACCAGCCACTGGGATATTAGATAAATAGTGGACAGAGATGGATGAGCAAGCAGTATCAATCATCAGGTTGTGCTTATCGATGAATGTGGCGAGCCTCGTGGCGAGTCAGAAAACAACAATGGGACTGATTAAGGCTTTGACTAACAGGTATGAAAAATCTTCTACCAACAGCAAGGTGATGAGCAAGCAGTAGCAATCATCAGGTTGTGCTTATCGATGAATGTGGCAAGCTTCATGGCGAGTCAGAAAACAATAATGGGACTGATGAAGGCTTTGACTAACAGGTATGAAAAACCTTCTGCCAACAGTAAGGTGTATCTCATTACGAGATACTTCAAAATCCATATGGAGGAAGGTACCTCAGTGAACTCCTATATAAATGAGGTCACTGATCTGATGAATAAGTTAGAGTCAATGCAAATCACTTTTTCAGGTGAGGTGAAGACTGTAAAATTGATGTCTTCTTTGCCTAATAGTTGGGAGACGATGAAGACGGTGATGTCGAATTCATTGGGGGATAAGAGTCAAAAAAATTTCAGATATCTGTAATGCTGTAATTGTCGAGGAGGTTAACAAAAAAAGGGAGTGAGAAGAATTCTGTATCCACTTCTGAAGAGGAGAATAGTTGGGAATCACCATTAGTGGCTCAGAGTAAGAGAAAAGGGAAGATGAGTTACAATGGAAAGCAGCAATATAACAACCAGAGAAGTGGGAGTAGTAGTGGAGATGTACATGGAATGTTTTTACTGCCACAAGAAGGGACACATTAAGAGGTTTTGTAGGAAACTTAAGGATGATCAACAGAAGGGTGATTCTTCTAATATTTCAGAATAAGTAGAAGAGTTTCTAGCCTATGTTAAGAGCGACTCGGTAGAGCAACCATCAGAGTGGGTTGTGGATACTACAGCATCAGCACGTGTATCTTCAAACAGAAAGTAGTTCACATCTTTTACTAGCCAACACAGCGAGGTAAGAATGGGAAATGAGAGTGCCTCCAAGGTTAGAGAAATTGGGGATGTCTGTTTGAAGACTAATGGGGGAAAAGAGTTGGTGTTGCGAGGTGTCAAGTATGTTCCAAGCTTCAGAAACAATTTGTTGTATGCTGGAAAACTGGACGACAATGGTTCAAGAGTAAGTTCGCAGAGGGTAGTTGGAAACTTCTGAGGGGATCCGAGGTAGTGGCAGTGGGCCACAAGGAAGCTTCACTTTATGTGTCAAGATTTGAGATTGTCAGGGGATCTGAGAGACAAAGGATGCACATGGCTGCAGATGGTTCAGGGCGAGACTTTGAAAGAATCTGTAGCAATGACAACCAGTATAAAAGATAGAATTCTGCCATTAGTTCAAGTATAATAGTTGGGAAGTAAAGGAAAGAGAAAGGAGAACAGCTCAGTGAGTTGTTCAACAGGTTGTCAATTTCGAGCCCCAGTTGTTAGACGGTTTGCCAAGCTGATGAAGTCGCGTAGGCGAAGGAGTGCATCAAGGGGGGAGACTATAGTGGGTATTGAAGTCAAGGGCGAAGTCTCTAATGTGGCAACAGACTTGAATAGGAATGTCAAGTCATCACAATGAAAATCTTTCTTCAGGAGTCGTTGGGCGCGAGTGAAGAAGGAAGCATGAGGGACCACTTAGATCGAGTGTGACAACGTGGCTGTGTCTCTAGCATATGGGAGACAATACCACGTAGGATTCTCAGTCTCGAGGCAATCTCAGACGGAGCTTGGGTAGGGTCGAGCATATGAGAGTCAATTACTGTTGGTAGAATTGAGCCTTGGCGGGGTTGCCAAGATGATGGGACACTATCGGTATAGAGGGAGGCAAGATCGATGTTTTGTCTCCAAATGGGAGATTTTTGGGATAATTAAGCCAAAATAGGAAACTCATGTCCTATGAAGAAGAAGATTTTCAACGCTACTAACGATTCCTACAACGAGTAGGATGTTGTTTTCTTATCAGGATTATAATATTGTTTTTTTCTATAAGGATTAGAATATTTGGCTTCCTATAAAGAGGGCCATTTTGTTAAGGTTTTATTTGTACAGAACCCAAAATAAAAGAGAATTGAGTGGTTGTGGGCAGTGTGTGAAAAGGAGTCTGTATCCCGTGGGTTTAGTGAGCGTTTTTCATTCCTGTACCTAAGTATAGTGTATTATAATACTTAGAAGCTAGATGGTTTTTGTTGGGACCTCTAGAGGTTGAATATCTGGGTAGATATTTGAATGTTTTGTATCCAATCTCTGATTATAGTGGAACCTGCATCTGAACGGAAGACTGGACGTAACCCATAAATCTGTTGTGTTGTTTATTACTTTTCCTATATTTCTCTTTGTTTTGCGATTAGTTTAGATAACTAGATAGAACTGTGGAAGGGAAAATTATTTGGAGCATCTAATTTCTCAACAGCCCGAAACTATGGTGTGCTTTTGATAAGTTTGTTCCCCTCGGTCGTGTAATCAAGAATCAAAAGAATATTGACTTTCTCCTAAGCTGCAACCTCTGAGCTATATGACATGGCAAAAGAAAATGATCCTTTACTATCATAGACAACAAAGGTAGTTTCTTAACTTTCAAAGCAATTATGGCGTTATATTCACCATCCGTCTTTACTTGTGGCTAAAACCATTAAAGGGATTTATGCTCCTGGAATGGATCTTCTTCATGCAGAAACTGACTCTTGCTTTTCTTATTTTTGGCAAGGTTTGGTTTGGTGCCACAAGCTTCTGTTAATCGGCTGAGGAAGGTGGTGGGAGATGGTTCATCTCTATTGACTTTTATGAGGATGCTTGGATCCCGAGAGAATCCACTTTCCGCCCAATCTTTGT